CTTATCAATGTTAAAATACATATTTAAAAGGTGTTATTTCAAATACAAGATACTTGGGTGACAACTGGGACACCCTTGATCCTGGGCTTCCTAAAAGGTCCTGGGAAGTTGCTGAATTGTAGTCTCCTTATCCTGTATACCAGGAGAAACAACAGAAAGGGCTCTGAGACACGCTTCAAATATACCACACCTTCAAAACACAGGACCGGGAACCTCGGTTTTGAGGAAAGAAAATGTGTGCCATTTTTATCCTTTTGATAACACGAAAAGTCTTTTATCCCAACTCCCTCATAAAGGTGATGGGTTCCATTTGTTCATTAGTTAAACACAGTCCCACAGAATTTATCCTGAACTTGAATTAGGAAGGCACGTAGAAGGTGACTAGGCTGGAGCAGACCAGTGCATTTCTTTAAAGTCATGGACAGTGTGCCCGTCACTTCCTATGGTTCTGCTTTACGTTTAGTGTGAGTTTGAGTTTTTGCTTTGGGATTTCTCTGTTGAAAGAGGCCTTGTTCACCTTGAGTCCAAGTGTGTTCTGCCTTAACCATGTAAAAAAGTGCCCAGAGCAGTTATAAGAGAAGAATTCGCCAGTAGGGACGCACGCCTCCACCGTTCTGGGCTCAGAGTTCCTGTGGGAGCCCTGGGTCCACTGGCCACGCCACCGCTCTTCCCGAGGGTGCAGCAGGCCCCACGCTGAGGCGGCCTCCTGGGGAGCAGAGGGGACCCAGCAGCACAGTAGAGGTCTCTGTACATAGCCACACAGGCAGCTAACTACCAGCCTAGGCTCCTGGCTCACTTTCCCTTGACACAATTCGGGCTTATTAGACACCAGTTCCTGTTTCTAGGTCTCCTTTTATCCTCCACAAAGCTACACCAGAGCTCCCTCCCACCACTGCTGATTCATGATGTCCCCATCTCCTCATCTCCCCACAGTCCTACTCTTGGTCTCAGATCAAAACATTTCCTCAGAGTCTTTCAAAGTTGGACTTCACTGTTTTCTACTTGAAGAATGTTCCCTGGTTTTGTCTCCCCTTCTCAAACATCGAAGGTTAAAAAAAAAAGGCATCTCAGCCCTCCTCTCAATCCTCTTTCATACTTCTGAAATACGGTTTTTCTAAGAGCCTTGATTTCGTCCCATCTGCCCTATTCTCTCCCAGTCCATCCCCCACATACTAAATGCAGCAGGACACCAGGTCATTATGTAATAGAGTGCCGTCAACACAATCATCAGCACATCCCCGGCTCGGCCACATGCACGACACTGGACTAAGGCAGACAGAGGGTACTTTCAACACACACAACACTTGGGGTAGTTTTTGTTGGCACCGAGATAGGGGTGTGTATGTGCTTGTATGCTATGTAGAGCCACAAACTAGCAACCAGAGTTGCAGTATCTACAGCAGACACATATTAATACATAGGGGCTCAAGGTGTAGGTATTGCCCTTTTTTAAATTTGTTTTGTTTTGATTTGGTTTTCTGTTTTGGACTCAGCACCAATAAATAAGTCATAGCAAATGACTGATAGTTTCCAAAAACCACTCTGCCAACTAACTTAATTTAGACAATGCCATGTTACAAAATAGTAAATATTTTCTAAATATGGAGAACAAAAAACAGCTACAAAGCAAATGTTACTGAAATTCAACAATAGGGCCAAGTACTAAAAAACATGTCATTCAGGATTTAGGACAACAAATCAGGATGACACAGGACCTTCTCGCCCTCCAAAATGGTAGTGAAATACAGTAAATGGCCATAGACAGCACACAAACAGAATGTTCGTGATGGACACATTAGGTGTTTTCACTGCCCCACACAAATTTCACATCAGATATATATGTTTGCTTTTCCCAGGCATCCAAAATGCTGTGCCCTGGAAAATGCCACTTCAGTTTAACTTTGAGCAAAGAAGTTTTGCCCAAAGTGGCTTTGAACTAGGGTAGGATTTTGCATTTGATATTTGGGTTTAAAGAGAACCTATTGAGCATCAGAGCTTCCTACATCAAAAGACTGAGATTTCCCTCTATCTAAAACATAATTAGAACTCTAAATGAAATATTAGATGACACCTAAAATTGTCAGAATCTCTCTTAAAAATAATTTTATAATTACCTTTTTCTCAGGATTGCCTATCGCATTAATACTGAACCAATCTTGTTCAGATTTCCTTCATGTACCAAACACAAGAAGCATATGTTTTCTTGTTTTGAAAAGTCTGAATGTATTTGCCCCTGGATTTCTAAGTCTGAGCAGGGAAATGTATTAATTTTTAAGGATTCTAAGCAATGACTTTTTAAAATATTACATAAAACAATGAGCAGAATTGTATATAATAAATATATACCATATCTGTATCAGACTAGATTAACTTCATAATAATCTGCTGTTCCTCAAATTGTTACTAAAAATAATTACACCTGAAGTCATCCAGGATGACACAGCAGGTAAATTAACTTCTCCTACTCCTACCTTCCTTGTAAAAAACAGTCTCGTACTTCCAAAGACAGCCTCCACTAACCAGCAAGACCAGGAAGGCATTCTTACTCCTCTAGCTTAGCATATAAACTGGGGTGTGTGCCAAAGTATTCTTACTGAGGAAAAATGGGGTGCTGCAGAACATGCTATGCTACTAGAAAAGGCCAGACCCAGCCATCAAGACCATCAGCCTCTGCTCCTACTTCTGCAATCCCTGGAACCCCACCTTTCTGTTTGGTCCCAAGTCTCCTTTCAGTTCTCTGACATTAGAGAGTTCAGTCACATTCAATTTCTTTCTTATTTTGGATTTTTATCAAGTGGATCAAATCTATGCTTTTCATTTCCCTTTTTAGTTTATGTAATAAAAGAACACGTTTGTTGCAATTTTTTAAAAGCCCAAACATAACGTTATAAAGGAAAAGGACCGTCATCTCTTCAGCCCACCCCACTTCACTCAGGTAGCCACTGTCAACAGTTTGGAGACAACAAGGTAGACGAATGCGCATGCAGACTGAAGTATATGAATGCAAGTCTCTTGTGCCATTTCCTTTTTTTATTTCCTATCTCCTGATTTTTCCCCAGACCCATGTACCAGAGCAGCTAAACAGACACATTTACATTTACTGCATTCCTCCCTTTTCCTACAGTGAGATTACTACATCAAGATTTGCTGAATATCAAAAGAAGTCTAACAAAAAACCTGTCAGCCTAGTACTAAATATATCTTCGGTTCTCTTAGTTTTTGCACTCAACCTTCAACCTAAAAAATGACACATCTGGTGAGAACAAATGGATAAATATATAAGCATTAATACATGTGCACAATATATAGATTATTTTACATAGATAATGATAACATATGTAATATATGCACACTGGTAGGAAGTTAATCATCAAAGGCAAGAAACAAAGAGAGGAACCAGTGTAGGTGGTGAGGCTTAATGGGCTCAGAATAGGGAGGAACATTGTGTGGAGATTTCCGGGGCTTTGGAGCAAGAGACACAGGGGTCAAATCTTGCTTCACCTTTTACTAATTATGTGGTTTGTGTAAGTTCTTAGCCCTTCTGAGCTTCCTTTTCATTATCCACAGAACTGGGGAAAAGACTTACCCTACAGAGATTTAGGAAGTAAGTGTTTAAGATGGTGTCTTGAATATAGTAAGTGCTCAAAAAATGCCTTATTACTGTTAATGCAGAAACTATGTATGGTAGACTTGGTGATCCAGTACTTCACACCACCAAACACCTGCAAACGTTGCTGTTTTGTGTATATTTGTGTTTTGGTTTGCCTTCATGTTTTTATGTTTACTTTATTTGTATAGATGCAGCACATGCTTTAGAAATAAATTACTGCAAATGTGCCTAGTAGCTTAATGAGTTACTGAAATACCATCCGCTCTCCTCCTGCTCCCACAGAGTGTCTTGCATTGGGCTCAGTAGCAATGTCCCAAGGCTCATCCTATGCAACCTACACCTTATTTACCACTTGTCATAAACACAAGCCATCTGACTACCATGAAATAACTGAAAATATCTTCCATGTCTGTTAAGGATCAGCAGCTTAAAAGTACCACAAGCTGACCTTCCCAGTGAAGAGGCCTCCTATCCTGTCCTTTCACTTCACAAGGCCGTCAATGACACATCCACCTTTAGCTGGCTACTTCCCCATGGTTTGGGGAAGGGATGGTCTGCAGATACCAGGGATCTAATAAATACACGTCTGCTTTCATCACATGTTCTCAGTCAACTGTACGTCCACCCACCCTTTACATTCACATATATTGAAGAGGTTAGATTTCCATAAAAATCCTAAACTTCTAGAACAATTAGGGGAAACTAGGCCACTGTACTATCCAACCACCTCCTTTTACATGTGAGGCTCAGGAAATGTGACAATTATTTAAATACCAGTTGGAATTAGAACCTCAACTCTTTAAGGTTGTTTCCTGTGACTAATAGGCAAGGTTTTATCTGTTCCAGGAGCTCTGTAAGATATTTATTAAATATTTTTGGGTGAAAGGAAATGTTTATGGTTGTGACTGTGTGGGGGAGAGGCAAAATGCACCATGAACTGTCATTTAAGGGTAAGCAATCCACCTGTCTGTCCATGTGGAGAGATGTAACAAATGAGGGAGGAAGTTGCATTTGGAATTTTTCACCACCCTGTCTAAACTTACAGGGGGCTGTGTAGGGAATATATGGGACCTAGGAGGGCCAGTAACTCAATTATTGTCTCAAAAGAGCTCTAAGGACAAGTTAAAGTACAAGATGGGGAATTTCTCCTAGGAAGGCTGAAGGCGGGCGGGGCGGGGCGGGGGACTGGGGGAAGTTGGTTTTGTTTTTCGTATTTTCACCTGGGGAATCAGACGCTGTCAATTTCCTCCTCTTGCCATTTAAGTGGCCAAGTCCTTGTCACTGGAGCTGTCCCGAGGTTCTCGCCTTCCCCTCCTCCAGGGGATGTTTATGACAGGGCAGCAGTGGAGCTGGGCAGAGAGGGCGCGGGCCCAACTCTAACCCTCCCACCCCCGCCTTGCCCACCCCTGGCTGCTGCCCGCGCCGGGCGAGGGCTCCCTAGGGCAGCGCCTTTGTTTTCCCTACTCCAGAAACGTTTGCGGAAGTGCTGCCCGCGCCGGGCGCGCCAGGGGTGTCAGCTACAGTCTCTTCCCAGCGCCCCACAAAGATGACAGTCGACACAGAAGCCGAGAAGAAGGGGGGCGACAGGGAGGAGGGCGCCCGGGGCTGGGGGCGGAGACACCCACACACGCCCTCCCTTTGGGCCGATGCTCTGAAGCCCCCGTTCCCCGACAGCAGGTGTGCGCGCCGGAAGGGGGCTCCCTGGCCCGGCGCAGCCGGTCCCCTGCGGAGGAGGCCAGGGTGGGGTGGCCCGACCGTCCCCGCCGAGCGCTCCCCCTCCCTGCGCGCCGGGCCCCGGCTCACCTGCTGCGGGCTGCGGCGGCGCTCAGCTGCGCGGGGCGCGGGAGGCCATCTCCCCCCGGCGCGGGGCGGCGGCAGTCCAGGCGTCGCGCACCATCTCGGGCGGCCCTCGCTCCTCGCGGGCTGCGGCGGGCGGGGCGGGGCGCGGCGGATGGATGCGAGCCGGGTGGGGCAAGCCCTGCGCCCCCGCCGGCGCGACCTGCCCTCCTTCTCCTCCTCCTCCTCCCCCCAGGCCGGGGCCTCCGCAGCTCGCTACCGGCTGGACCCGTTTCAGGGCAGAGCGCCGAGCACCCGGCGCCAGGTGCAGCGCTCCGCCTCCTGCTGCGGCGGCGGCGGATGCGTCGGCGGCCGCTCCTCCCGGCCTCCCGCCCGCCCTGGCGGCCCCAGGGGAGCCCCGGACCAGCCCTGCTGGGGACGAGGCAGAGGAGGAGAAAGCAGACGCCGAGGTCCTGACCCCATCCTCATCTCCCCCACCCCACCGCCCAGACTTAGGATGCAGGCCTACCTCCCGGGCGAGGAGGAGGGAAGTAGATGGCCGCCCTGGTGGGAATTGTAATAATAATAATGATAGTAACAACAATAATAGCCTTCCTTTCTTGAGCGCTTATTAAGCGCAAGCACAATGCTAAAGCTATAAATGCGTTATCTCTGGGTCTCTAATCCCGGATTTAGCAGATTGTCCTCAGTTGACCCGGGCGGGGGGACCGGAGGCAAATAACAGATTTCGGGACCCGCTAGGGAGGGATACGGAGACACTAACGCGCCCTTTCAAATTGGGAGGGTGCTATTGAGCATCTGGTACCTTGCTGAAGAGGTAGTCATGTGTGTCGCACTAAGAACGTAAAGTTGTATTTCTGCTTAGACGCGCAGATAGCGTGGGAGCATGGAGCGTGGGAGCAGTTATTTTTGTGTGCCTCTGGTGGGCTCTGGAAGTGCCAGATCCTGTTCTCATGGAGCTTACGGTTTTGTTCTGGTAATGACAACAATAATAATGGCAACTAACATTTATGAACATTTCTTTTTGAAGCACTGCTTAAGTACCATTTAAGCCTGCCGTAATTCTAAAGGCAATATTTGCCCACTTTGTAACTGAGGAAATCGAGGCTGAAATTTAATGCGACCTATACAAAATTACTACATAGTAAAAAGAAGAGAAGTTTTTTATCCCCAGGGTTTAAGCTCTTAACCACTAAATCTTACTCTGAGAATTGTATAGGCCATGAAGCTTTAAGATTTGAGGTCCCTCTTTAGGAAGAAGAAAACAAAATTACAAATACTAAGTTGGTAGGGCCCTTCTAGAGTCTAGGAAGGGTCCCTGAAGCATAAGCTGTCTTAGCCTCCTGATAAATCCACTTGCAATACGGATGCATAAAACCAAAACAACTAAAGGCAATGAGTGCTGGTTTCAAATGAAAGAGATCAAGGTGGTCCCACCCAGAGAATGACAGATTTTAATCTGGTGTGGCCTTTGCACAGCTTCCTACTGCCTTATCTGGAACTGAACAGCTCATAAAGCACCTACGTGTAACTGTCAGAATTTTCGTTCTTCTAACCCAGCTATTAAAGAAGCTACCTTTTAAAAAAGAAAGAAAAAGGAAAGGAAGAAAGTGAACAGACTTCAGGTCTGACTTGGAGCTCAAGAACTAGGGAGGAGGGGGTGCATCATTCTTGACCTACAGCTGCTCAAAGGCAGTTCCACTTTGAACAGTGAAGCCCAAGCATCCTAGAGATTAAAACTGATGTTTCTGTCAGCATGGCAGAAAATGTTTTGCTTGGCCTTGTTCGGGCAGGCATTTTTTCCTGGCAGCCACCTTCCCTTTTCAGTGTAACTAAGGAGAAGATGCAAACATGCATAAAGTTCCCTGCCACTCCTCCCACATCTCCCTAGCACTGAGGTAACTAGTGGGTGTGGTGTGGGGAATTAGCTTCCAGGTGTACTGCCAGGCAGGCTACCCCAGAGGCCATTGCACAGAAAGGCTCAAACACAATTAAGATATTGAAATTACATGGCTTATTGAGTCAATTTAAAATGCAGAGTTAGAAGCCGGGAGAAAGAGTAGATTAGCACACCTAGGCTAGGGTACAAACAGGCAGTATAGTTTATGAAGAATGCATGGAACCTGTGCCTCCCTCTTTCTCTCTTCCTCTCCCTCCTGCCATGCTCTCCCAATCCTGCATCACCACACCTTTCCTGTGCTGATGCTGTGGTTACCAGGACCAGAGCTGAGGTGAGGCGAGGGACTCGGCCGACTGAAGATGCCTGGTGCCTTCTCTGTTGAGAGACACAGGAGCAAGTATGTTGGCCATAGTTCTAGCTCACCAGTGAGCCTGATAAGAAGCTATGGATTTTATTTGCATTTCTCAGGCGAAGAACAAATGGAGGCTGTGTAGGTGTCACCTGGTGTTGTCATTTTAAGCCTTCCTGAATACCGAATGTCTTGTGTGCTTCATGAGTATTTACTGTACCAAGAATATTTGGTGGATAATTATACCTTCCAGCCCTTCCTCTCTAGGTTCAGTTCATATATGCACTGCTTACTTCATTTCACAAACTACATGCTTCTACTCTGATTTCCTTTCTCCTCCTTATAACATTTGTTTCTCTTACTTTCTTTGGCAGAATTGATTATTTTTAAATAACAAAGTAAACATGTTACAGTAGGTAATAATAATAGTAACAGCAGCTGACACATAGGACTTACCCTGTGCCAAGCACAGTTCAGGTCATGTTCCAGATATTTATTTAATCCTCACAAAAATCATATAAATAGGTACTGTTATTATCCTATTTTACAAATGAGGAAACTTGTGCATATGAAGTAACTTGACCAAGGTCACACCACAACTAAGTGATAGAACCCAGATTGGAACCTAGGTGGTCTGGCTTCAGAGTCCTTGCTCTTAACCAGCACTTCCTCCTTGCTAATGTAAATACTCACAAACATATATATTCACATTTGCAGGGTTGGGGGATTTATTTTTATGCAAATGGTGTCATTCTCTCTCCTCTCTCGAACTGTCATCAACTTTGGACACTACTGATGTGCCCTCCTTGATACTCTTCTTTCCTCTGACTTCCACAACCCACAAGCCTTGGGGTTTTCTCTTCCTCTCTGGTCACTCCCCTTTGTATGCTCCACTTGGGTTTTGTTCTGGGACTTTCTTCTGTAATTGCTCTCACCACTCCCTTGGCTTTGGTCACAGAAGATTTGAGGATGCCCCCCGATGCCTATCTCTGGGACACCTTCTCTCCTGGAGGCCAGGTCCATATAGCCAAGTGTCCAGTAGGGGGTCACAGGCACTCCAGCCCCACTAAAACTCAGCCAAGGGCCACATCGACGCTTCATTCGCTTCTGCCCCTCCCTGACTTGCTCTTCAGGGTTTCCAAACTGTCATCCACCCAGTCTCACAAAGCCCTTGCACTTCACGCTCCTTTCACCCTCTGCCCCAATGTACTAGTTTTTTATTGCTGCTACACTGAGTTACCACAAACCTAGCAGATTAAAACAACACAGATTTATTCTTACAAGTCCTGATATCCACAGTGGGTTTCACTGGGCTAAAATCAAGTTGTCTACAGAGCTGCCTTCCATCTATAAGCTTCAGAGAAGAATCCATTTCCTTGCCCTCCCCAGTTCCTGGAGGCTACTCACCTTCCTTGGCTCATGGCCCCTTCCTTCGGCTACAGCATGTCACTCTATCCTCTGCATCAGTCATCTCATTGCATTTTCTGACTGACCCTGCTGCCTGCCTGTTATAGGGTCACTTGTGATTAAATTGGGCTCACCCTAATAATCCTCCCTTCAAGCACCTTAACTTAATCACATCTGCAAAGTCCTTTTTGCCATGTAAGGTAAAATATTCACAGGTTCCTGGGATTGGGACATGAGCATCTCTAGGAAGCAATGAGTTTGTCTACCACACCCAGTCAAATGCCACGCCCTCTGGAATCCACCATTCAAAGTACCTCTGGAATCTGCCTCTTTGTATCTGTGGTCTGCTAATCCATGCCCTGTGCTAATCTAATCTGTGCTCTGCTTTAGGACAACCATTTCTAGGGCCTCTCTCTGTCTCTATGTGTTCTCTCACCCAATTAATTTTCCCTGTTGCTACTGAAGTAATGTTTAAAAACATGTGACCATGTTACTTCTTTGCAGACACACAGAATTGCACAGGACCATAGGCACCATTCACATCATGTTGCGCCTCCTGGTTGTGCTACCAGTAGACCTTACTCCTCTACTTAAAACCCAGCTAAGGCCCCTGTTACTGGAACAGAGAGATTTCAGAGTCCAGCAGTTAAAAAGAATTAAAAATTTTTTTGATCATATAATAGTCTACATGTAGACAGTCCAAGGCTGATAGTGTGGCCCCACCATCCAGTCAGCACATGGATTCCATCTCTGGTCCTCGGTGGCCTCTTCAGGTTTGCCATTACCAGCACACAGGATGGGAAGAGAATAAGCCTAGGGACGTAAAGGGAAGCCCTAGTGTTTGCACACATGACATCCATTCAGATCCCCTTAACAACAACAATCTCGTATCCTCATCTGGGAGCAGAGGAAGAATCTCTAGCTATGTGACTGTATGCTCAGCTAAATTCTATTACTACAAAAGAAAGGGAGAATGGAGTTGGTGAGTCAACCAGCAGTCTTCCTCAGGAAGAAAACAAGGTGCTATACAACAGAGAAATAAAGGACCGTAATTTAGGTTGGAGGCTGGGGAAGGCCCCTTTGAAGAAGTCACAGTGAACTGTGCCCTGAGGCATAAGTAGCAGATGGGGGGCGGGGAAGAGCTCTAGAAAGATCTCTCTCCTCAGAAGGAACAGCCTTGAGGCAGCAAAGAGCTAAGCTTTGGTGATTGGAGCAGAATAGGTGCGACCTAAGGGGAAATGTCAAGACATAAGGTTGGAGAAGTAGGCAGGAGCTACACCAGGCAGAAAACTGTGTCATGTGACACGTTTTAACTTACATTCATTGCGATCCATCGAGAGTTGTTGAGGAGATTTGATTTGTGTCTTTAAGGTCGCTATGACTTCTGTGTGGAGAATGGCACAGAAAGGGCAAAAGTGAAAGTGAGACTCATTTAAAAGTAACCACTGGTGAGAGGAGAGATTCATAGTGGCTTGGACCACACTGGTGTGATAAAGAGAAGTAGATGGATTTGAGAGTTTTTGGAAATACATCAGCACACTTGGTGATGTATTGGGTGTGGGAGGCAAGGGAAAGGAGGTGTTAAGAATGACTCACAAGTTTCTGGCTCAAGCAACTGGGTGGATTCTGATCATCTTTCCTGAGCAGGAGAAGTCTGTGGGAGGAGCAGGTTGGAGGGAAGAAGGAGAGTTCACATTTTGGCATAGGAATTTGGGGATGGCACTGAGATGTGCAGGTGAAGCTGAGCGAGTGAGTATATGAGCCCGAAGCCCAGCGGAGAGTGTGCATGTGGCAGTCACCAGCACTCAGGTGCCGTTTGCAATCATGGGAATGAAGGGGACCATCCAGAGAGAATATACTGTGAAAGCCCTGAGAAGGCCAACATTTACCAGTTGGTACAGGAGGAGGAACTGGGAAGGACCAGTCATAGAAGTAAGGGAACCTCAGGAGGGTGTTGTCGCTAAAGCCTAGAGAAGGGGTTTTTAAGCAGAAGTGAGTAGATAACCCTCCACCTTTTGCCTCTTTGTATCTGTGGTCTGCTAATCCATGCCCTGTGCTAATCTAATCTGTGCTCTGCTTTAGGACAACCATTTCTAGGGCCT